TATATATAAGTCAAAAAATAAATTGGAACAAGAAAATTCCAAAAAAAAATAAAAATAAAAATAAAAATCCATTGATAGCTTCCAATTACATGAAACAAAAGGGATAAAACCTATACATGCATACCAACATATATCTATACAAACATGTGTATAGAATTATGAAACCAAAGGGATAACATCAAGAAAAAATATAACCATATAAATACTTATCCATCTGAATAAATGTGATTGTATAGAAAAATGAAATCAAATTTTTTTTACATTTGGGACATCACAAACAACAGAAAAGGAATGACCGAAATCGAGTTGAAAGTGCACAAAAGCAAATATCAAGATGAAAAGGGTGAGTTTGATTGATCTCCTTGCAACTTGGATAGACTTATTCTTGGAATTTTTTGAAAGATATTCCGTCCCAAAACATAAATGATGAAAGTACTAATTGAATAAAAAAAATCAAGATTTTTGTGAGGCCACTTGATCCTACATGACCCAAGTGGGTCCGTCCACCATGCTTGTGCTACAGCTAAATTAAAAATTTAGAACTGTAGGTAACACAAATGAAAAGTTTTGGTGAAGTATATAAAAAATTGAAAGATTTGGGACCTTAGTTACAATGATTCCTTTTTTATTTTTATTTTTATTTTTTGGGTTTTTTAAAAACTTGGCGTTAATATGTAATGGAGTACACTTGTTCAAAAAGTTGACTAAAAGTGCAAAAGGTTGGGGGTCTAAATGTAATAAATGGTAATAATAGGAAATACATTGTAAAAATTTAAAACAAAATGTTGCTGCCCAGGATCGAACTGGGGACCTTCAGTGTGTAAGACTGACGTGATAACCACTACACCACAGCAACTTCTGCGTTCTAACGGGTATTCATATCATAATAATATTATTAAAGAAAATAAACATGATTATCATCTCGTAAAGTATTTCTGTCCCCGTGAACTCAGATGAAGTTGTTCAATTCCTCGTCCTTCGTCAAGCTGTCTATCATGGCTTCGAAACCGCAACAACTCCGTCCTCGTAAGTACTATACTACTCCATTATCTTCCATGTTCCCATCACGAAAAGGGATTCGTTCGAAAATCTGGAATTTCTTTGAATAATTTTTTTGACTCACGCATTTTGTCGAGCAGTTGCGGGGACATCACGGGCAAAAAGGGAAAGAACGATTACCTCCAATTCTTCTGTTTCTGAAAGTGCTGAATCAAATCCAATGAAAGACGCTTTCGCCAAATATGCGAATTACCTCAATGACCTGGTAGGCTTTATTACCCCCACCACCACCACTCTTTTGTTTTACTTTGAAAATGGAATACTTTATTCAACCAGAACAATTGTCTGTTGCAGACTTGTAGTAGTAGAATAAATCACGGGCAGCAATCGGTCCATATCATCTTTCCACTTTATTGTTTTTGTCGGTACTTTTGATATTTTGTTTTGAATTTCTGCATTTTCTTAGACCTAGATTGTCAATAAATTCGATTTGCATATGCTTGAATGAATGGCGATTGCTGTAATTTGAGGGAGAGTGTTTCCATGTTTGGCACTGCTAGAATTAATTAATTCTAGGTGCTTATTTGAGCAATCTGTGAAAGCACTCAGACTCATACCGACCAACAAAGCCGAAGAAGGCTGGCTTCTAAGCGGCCAAACATGCTGTTGGACTTATAGTACCGAATCATTTTTCTCACACAAGCTTCTTTCTTTCTTGATTTTTAGGTTTCTCTGCATCTTTAAAGTGTCAGTAATGTGATATTATGATTCATCGATGAATTGCTTCTTATTGGTCAGTGTGATGTATGCTCCACCTGTCTATCCCATACACACGCAATGCACGGGGATTTAAATCTGAAATGTAAGAGTACAATTCTGATGTGTATATAATAAATCCCATTGTGTATGAGTTGTAGAACGACAAACGGGAAAGAGTGGTGAAGGCAAGTCGGGATGTTACCATGAATAGCAAAAAGGTCATATTCCAGGTGCACAGGTAAAAGGAGTTCTTTAATTACATGCATACAAATATGATGTGATGTTTGTTGCGGCACTATCTCGTCCTAGTGTAATGTTGTCAAAGTAAAAAAGACAAAGTTCCCTTCTTTTGATGCTTGCTTAGAAGTGACAATGCTTGGTCCTGCATTATAATAGTTACTGATGTAGGAAAAGACCATAAAATTTGACATTTCCTTATTACTCGTTCTTATGCCTTTTTTCTAATTATATTTTTGAAGTTTATGTGTTCTCTTATTGCCTGCAAGGTTTGTGCTCGAGGATCTTGCTCAAGCTAATCTATGCCTGTTCATTTTTTAATGAATTGTTCTTTCATTAGTCTTATGAGAATTTATACAGATTATATTGCCTGTTAGCTATATTTCCGGAAACTTATTTTGTTGATATATTTTAGCACTTTTATTTACTAAATATTTTACTAGATGCCGAAGTGTTTATTCTTTACCTCTCTAATAACAGAATAGGTAAACAAAACAAAGATGAAGTTCTAGAAAAGGCAGAAAAAGATTTAGCTGTGGTGAGAGACCAATATGTATCCCGTCTAGCAAAAGAACTTCAAGGAACAGATTTTTGGAGGCTAAGACAAGCATATTCTCCCGGGGTGTGCATTTTCTGTCTTTTTAACTTTGGAATGCTGTAAAGAAGTTTACAATTCAATTTTTACTCCTGCTTATAGGTTCAAGAATACATTGAAGCTGTGACACTGTTTAATTTCTGCAAGGCTGGAACCCTTTTGGACCTTGATGGTGTCAATGCTGCCCTACGACCATTAAGTAACCCGTCCATGGAGCCATTGCAGATCAATATTATTGATTATGTCTTAGGGGTAATTCTCTGAATTTTAGAATTTATGAGTAGACTAATTATGCACATGAAACATTCATTGTAGTATACAAATTTAGGTTACATAAAGACCTAGCAAAATTTTCATTTAAATATGATGAACATTAGTTTCTATAGTTTGTTCTTGTGATACATTGCAAAAATAGATTTTATACATTAATCTTTTGAACTTTTTATACTGCTTTGATCTTACCGTTGATTGTTCTTGTTCAGCTTGCGGACTTGACAGGAGAGCTGATGAGGTTGGCAATAGGTCGAATATCAGATGGTGAAGTTGACTTTGCTAAGAAGATCTGCACATTTGTTCGTGAAATCTATAGAGAGTTGACACTTCTGGCACCCGTGATGTATGACTCTTCAGACATGAAAACAAAGATGGACACAATGCTCCAAAGCTTAATGAAAATAGAGAAAGGTACGATGTTTACATTTTACAGATGTTGGTAGTATGTGTTTCATATGTTTGAGTGTACGCCCAATAAAATAACGAGACTTGGTCCCAACATAATACAATATTAAAAATAGTTTTAAACTCTTAGAACTACAAACTTTGTATACAAATGTTTTCTTTAACAAAATTTGCTATCATTCTCTGCATTCTACTTTCTTGATCCCATTTTGATCTAGTGATGACATCCACTTTCGTGTTTCATCCTGTTGTTGGTTTGTAACGTCCACCTAGTCTGAAGATGCAATTTCCATTCCTTATTAATCTTTCCGTTGTTACCATATTTCTTAATTGCTATTTTGGTGCACTATCTAATTTAGACATTAAGTGTTCTCAAAATAATTAAACCCCTGTTTCAGCGCCATTTGATATATATATTATTTATTTATTTATTATTATTATTTTATTTTTTTTGGAGAAATGTGTTTTGGAATAGTTAATTTTTTTGAGAATGTGTGGTTAAAAAATATTGAAAAGTCTTGGGTTTATGTGAAATTATTTTATGAGAGAATATGTTACTGAAAATTAGGTTTGGGAAACGGGGTTCGAACAGGGGCTAAGTTTGCAAATGAAAGCGCTCATATGTTCTCTAGTCAATTGAAGCACATTTTCATGCTATACTCTTAAATGTTCATTAAAAAAAAGTTCTGAAATCAAGATTAAGATTGTGCAGTGATGCCATACTCTAAAATTGTCATCAAGAATGTTTATTTTTCTAGTTGTTTGATCTTGCATCAAGAATGCACATGTCCTAGATTTACCTCTACCCTCATCAGTTTGATATTTTTGTATTATGCAGCTTGCTTTAGTGTACATGTTAGAGGATCAGAGTATATTCCGCCTCTTGGATCAGCTGATGCTAGATTTCCATTGTTGGGAGAGGATGACATTGAACGATGAAGTACACATCTCATGAAAACTTCCCAACGATCTCTTTGAAATCTTGAAAAATGATGTTCAAATATGTTTCTTAGCAATGAATGACCCCGTTTTCCACTGATTACACTAAATTTATGTTTCCTTTAGTTACTTTTCATATTTGCACTTTAATCCCTGAAAAAATGGAAAATGATTTAGAAGTTCTCACTCTTCATGGAAATGCCACATCATAATATATAAAATTTTGGGCATTCCACAAAGCATTAGTCTGTGTGAACTTAATGCTTCACACGACAATTCTAGAATACTCACGTGAGGTGGACCACATATGAGTAAAATATTATCAAAAAAATACCCACCCACTCCCCTATTGTGTGTGACATGTAAGATCCTGTGAAGTGTCCTTGTAAACCAAGTGTGGCTCTTACATAAGAAAAAAAATCGTATGATTTGGAATGCCAGGGTTGGATCAATGGAAGCCCCTTTTTTTGTATTTCTTCTTGTCCATTTTCCCCCCTTAGCATGGAACAATTTCTCCAAAATGGTATATGCCATGCAATTTTGAAATTTTCAAACTACTTTTGTTATTCCCTGTGCAAATAAATTAGATTATGTTAGTAATTACTACTTAGTTAAATTAGACGATGCTAAGAATGAGAACTTACGTTTTTAGGTGTTAACCGAGTAGAGAAGATGATTTGGTCTACTTCTATTCAGGTCGAGTTGAATATATAACGCTACCCAATTCTAGCCAAGCAGCGAAGTACAATGAAAGGTCGGAACATGTTAAATCTAGCATTTTGCTTCTCTCTATTTCAAGCACTTTTTAGGTTGAACCTAAATTGTGTCTAGATGGGCCGAGCATCCTGGATTGAAACTGGTGAATTGGCCCACTATATTGAACAAGTTGTGTCGATTCAATTTTGTAGAAATTACACACTTATCAACTTATCATTTCAAAAAGCGGTAATTACATAAAATCATAGTTTTTCTATTCATAGTTTCCGAATAAGAGTGGAAGTTTAATATTTCACTAATCAGATTTTTTTTTAATTTCTTAATTATTTAATAACTGTCTTTCCTAGAGTCACGTAATTCAAATTTCGGAAACTCTATTTTCATTAAAACCTTCTTGCACGTCCTTTCCATTAAACCCACGGTTCTTCACGTATCCTATTTTACAATTAAATCGGTGTTCATCCAACCCATATTCAGACGTTCATCCCTGTTCATTCTCCGGCGATTCCCTGACGACCTTCTTCCACTATCGGTCACAAATTTTATATGTTCCTTCCCAAAAAAAGTGGTCACAGTTGAACTGCAGTCTTCTAAAATTTCAAGGTTGACTCGTTCAGGGAGTGGGAAACGTGGGAAGAAAATTGGAATCCACGAGTCAGGAAGAAGAGGTAAAAAGAAGTTGGATGAAGTGCAGAAGGCATCCTCTAAAAGACACAAATCCGGAAGTTCGGTCGCAAAACAGTCCACGAAGAAGGTGTTTTTGATATTTTTCAATTGTTCACTTATGTCGAGCATACCTATGTTCATTTTAATCGATGGGTAATGTGTATGGATGAAGTATTTTGAATTTGTGATGTATATTGCATTGAATTTGTTGTATGGATTTGTAATCGAAATGCCTGATTGTAGTAAGGTTTTTTAATTTTTTTTCAAAAGTCGTCGTTCATTTGTGAATTATGGAACGCTATTGTGTCGTTCTGTATGTGTGTTGTTGATTTCTTTTTTGGTAGAGGGGACCTGTGACCTATATGTTGATGTTGTGTCTACTTGGATTCCCACCTGTGACCAAACTGATGAGTTTTATTGTGATCAATGTTGTAGGCCTGGAAATACATTATACCCGAGAAGAGTTGGTTTCCGGGTAAAATTACAATTACCCCCGTCAAAGGTGTGGTGTCGAACTTCAAAAACAATCTCAATGAAGCCCAACGTCGAATCCTTTAGAATACATGTTTCTCCCACTTCCTGCAATGCGAGGAAATTGTTATCCAATCTCAGCTGATACACTACTTTCTGCTGAGACAAGTGCAACAAACTAATGAGAGTAAGTTGTGATTCAACATAGTTGGAAGATTCGTAAGGTTCTCAATTTCAGAATTTTGTTTGGTGACTGGTCTGAGATACGTCGGCGATGCTGACATAAGTAGGATGGAGAAGCTCCACCAGGATTGAAAAATTTGTATTTTTCAACGTCGAAAAATGTTACTCATGAAAACATCAAGGACGCATTTCTTGGTTCTACTGATATTCCGGATGAGGATGTTTCCATGCTAGGTGCATTGTATTTCATAACGTCTTATCTATATCCGAGACACTACAAGAAGGCTGTGGATCACTTCTTATTTGTACTAGTTGAAGATTTTAGTGCAATGAATGTGTTTCCATGGGGTAAGTCGCTGTTTGACACACTAGTAAATTCATCGAGAGAGGGGTTGAGTAAGAGATCAACACATTACAGACTCAGAGGCTTGCTCGTAGCCTTTCAAGTGTGGATTTACGAGACAATTCCCAGTCTCGATGGATACACAGCGAGAAGGATTTCCAGAGTGTATCCCTAGATAATGAACTGGGTGGCTGATGATCACCCTTCAGCTGCAAAGCTCGAGGGACCTGAATACTTCTCCAATCCGGACGTAAGTGACCACTGATGCAGTAGTATTGGTTTCGTAATATTAAACTTGCACATTTTTTTCATGTTCCAAATCATATTTTTTAGGTCACAAATATATTTCGTCAAGTCACAAATTGCATTCAAGAAGTCACAGATTTTATTCACTATGTCACACGTTTTCAGTATAGGTAATAGACATTTTCACGGCGCCATTTGCCCTTGTTATATCACTATCAATGGAAACATATTGAATATGTGTGATGTGCAAAATTATATCTGTTCGTTCATACATAATTTTTGGTTGTTGACATCGCACTTTTTATTGTGATATGAATGGCAGTTGGAAATATGTGACCTGGACCCCCTACCAGTTGAAATGGCAATGCCATACATGATTCAGGTGCAGTATAAGAAACCTGTCCTACCTGATCGGTCACATGGGGAGAAGAGAAAGGGTGGTAGCATACACCGATCAGTTCATCGTGTTGGGACTAGTACAAAACCAAGTAATTCGAGAATGAAACAATCTATTCCCATGCTTTTGATAACTGATGGACGACTGGGACACTCTGATCTCCCCATTGATGATGATGACTTCGTTGACGCACCACCCAGTTGGAAGGGGACATTAATCCATGAAGATTCTCCAAGTGGGGAGCGTAAGTCAGATGACACACTGATTCAGAGGATATGCCGTCAAAAGATATAAGCTCTTCCAATTCCATCTATCATGTCACAAGTCCATTTGGTCACATAAAAATTCCGATCACATATTCAAGTCACATAAAAATTTTCAGGTCACAAGTTTCAGTTATTAGGTCACATACCAATACATGTTTCACTGCTGATCACAGATCAATGTCATATTTCATCATCATAAGTTACCTGATTATAGGTATTCATGTGATACAGGTGGTCGACGAATTGAGGAATTATTTCAAAGGACAGATATCTGATCTCCAGTCTAAGAATCGGTTGCTAAGCAAACAACTTCAGGCAATGCAGTCACAGGTGTCATCTTTGAAGTCTAATCAGCAAAAGAAACTGAAGCTGCTTGTTCGCATGCAAGGTGAAATCCGTATCGACATGTTGGACATCAAATCACACATGCAGTGTATGTCTAATTCTGTGACTACATTGATATCTAGTTCAATGGAAGAAATTATGGAAAAAAATTCAGAGAGAACTCAGGACCAGAAACTGTTGGAGGATCTGGACCAACAAGCGAAGTCAGTACCCCAACTATAACCACCTCTTATTTGTCTGTTACCATAAACCGTTTGATATACACTTCTCATCAAATGCATTTTTGTTCTGATTTTCAGGCTGCAAAAGTCGAAAAAGTGTTGGTTCGAAAGGCAAAGCGAAGGTTGACTCTGCGTGTGCAGTTGAATTTCCATGTTCTATTGAACCTCCATATTTTGATCTCGGTCTTGGATTTATACAACCAAACCAGTTTGTTGCAAAAACATCTAAGAAAGTTGAAGTGCAAGTGGAATCGGTCATATCCAATGTTTTGAGGGACATGGAATGTATTGAGCAAGAGGTATTAAAAAATCTATGTATTTGTTGATTAATGCATGTCACATATTAAAAAACATATTTTATAACGCAGCACTCACCTAAGGCCGCACCAAGTTCTGGATTGCCGATGAAGAGGGCTCCAAAGCTAGTTAAAGCACTTCAGTCCCCTTATGTTGTCGAAGAAATGAAACAAATGAAATCATCAGGAAACGTTGTGGTCTTCAAATACTACAATCAGAATGTACAAGATGCAGATGTTGCTGACTTTCAAAATTGGTTTCAAAGAGGATACAAACTGCATAACAAGTATGAAATTGTTGTCCTATTTTCATAATTTTCCAAATAATGACCCCTACTTCTCGTTTGCAGAAAGAAGTTCAATGATAAAGATAACGCCATCCGTCCACTTTTTTCCATCGGTTAGTACTTGGTGGGAAACAAGACATGGTGGTACGAACTTGTATCCAGGGAGGTGTCGTTGACTAGTTCGGTAAGTTACTACACAAAAGTAACAGTTCTAAAGGGCATGTCATAGTACAGGTCACATTAATCACAGGTCATTGTCTACTAGTCATACAGAGCATGGGTCACAGATCACACGAGCAGTAGGTCATAGATGATGCATGGGTCACAGATCACAACGACCAATAAGTCACAGATGATGCATGGGTCACAAATCACACGAACAGTAGGTCACAATCCGCGTTGCACGGAAAAACACATAACTGCAAGTGCAATAGTATAGCTCACCTTTATTTATTACGTAACAGATCAATTATTAAATGGTCACTAACTACAGGTTGTGTTGATCACACATTCTTCTCGAGTCACACATCAAATTAACAGCTTATTGTATCATGTTTTCTGGTGTATATATGGTTTCTTAATTGTTTATTGTACTTGCATCTCTGTAGCATATGGACGTGTGCTTCTACTACATATGTCAAGTGGCAAGAAGTGCGAGAGATCTCAAGTTCGTAGCTACCACAACGGACTCGTAACCAGGCCGTACTTGCATCTCTGTAGCATATGGACATGTGCTTCTAC